CCCCCCCCCCCCAAGAGTTTTGCAAATACTGACAAAAAAAACTACAAAAAAATTGTAGAAAAATAAGGCTGAGCGCTATTCACGTTAAATGCACTGCAGATCCAGATTTATAGCGGAGTATGTTTATTCCCTATCCTTTCTAAGGTAGTCACTTTTTAACCATTTAGAAGTGTGTGCATTTTACGTTTAAAAACATGAAAATAACATACGCTCGCAAGTGCGAGAAGAAGTGACTACCGTAGAAAGAATGGGGAATAAGAAACTTCGCAACGCACTTGGATATTCAGTGGTCTCGAGAATTCTAGGGTTTTTTTTTTTTCGTCAATGCCACCCGAGTATACGTGTGTATAAATTGCATAAGTGTAAACCACCATGCATTGGTACGTGTAATAATTACGTTTCGCGAATCGCGTGTAATTACGCACGAGCATATGTATATATTTATTACGTCAAACATGACGGAAGTATGACGTCAATCTCTTAATCGATTCGCGAATCTCGATATATCCTGTCAGTGCCTTAAGAGAATCTAGTGAATGATTTCGCGCGCGTTAAAAACAATTCTTCGATGCGCTAAACGATCGGGCGATATCTTTAATTCACTTTGATATACCTTATTACTCTGTTCTTGTTTTTTTTTTTTTACTTTAGCATTAATCATTAATCCCTTAGCACTATTATAATTTAACGTAAGGCTGGCTTACTCAGCTTGGAGGAACATTGTTTTCTCGATAATACATGCTTAGTATAGATAAACATACTCACTTACTTGTAGACCGTTTACTACAACGCGACATATTTGGAACGGAAATCGGGCTTCTTTATAAATTTTATCCTTTATTTTTTTGAATTAATTCATTTTTTTTCTCTTTTCCATTCCTACGAAATACTGCCACGTGTGTCCTTTATACAGATCGACCTTATGCTCTTAATATTTATATATGTATACATATATATATTACTCAACGTTATATATATATATACAGTGTGCGCATGTCCCGCCTGGGCCCGCCATGTGAGCTAATTCGCCTTGTCTGAGGTACATATGTTCAATAAGGATAGTATCCCGAATCTCATTCCGTAAGTCCTAAGCAGCCCGTTAGTAAATTTCGTATCAGCGCGAGCAATCCCGTTTGATTTACAAAGGCTTTGTGTTCCTTTTTGAAAAACGAAAGAAAACCTCCGAGACTCCATTTTGCATTCCCGATCACACGTATGTCCATCTGAGCGTCTTGATCTGATCCCACTGTACAGGATGTTTGAGACGCATGTGATTGCGCACGCTGTTAGGATGGGAGAAGGTCTTTGCGCATGCGCTGACTGGACACGTGGGCGAGTCACGTGGGTAATGGTGATCGAGATGCGCGCGCATCGCACTGATGTCCGGTAAGGTTCGGCAGCACAGCGGGCACCTATAGCCATGTTGACGGTGATGTTCACGCAGCATCCTCTGATGCCGGAAGTCCGATTGGGCCCGCTGATACTTGGCCGTGGGATGAAGATGATGATGACGTTGGCTGTGGTGGTGGTGGTAAGCCGCGCCCTCTGCCTCATCAACCACGGGATCTGCAACCACCACCACACCAACGTTACCACCAGCCACCACCACCAAAATCCCACGAGCAACAACCAACCTCAACAAAAATCACTCCCGATGGATCCCTCACCACGTGTTCGTTAGGTTCATACATTGTTATCGTTTTATGACACACCCTCCCCTTCTACCCCTCACCACCATTCACTATCGCTATATAATACAAAATTACTCGAAATAGCAGCGAACCCGTCCGATGGCTGCACTCGCTGAACCCCACTGACCGACCTCATTGATCCTTCTTAAATTCATCAAAGATCTACTCGTATGAAATATATAACGCTCTCTCTATCAGTCTCTGGGCCTAGTCTAAGTCTAGCGTCATCACTCGGCTCTATCGGAGTGACTATAAAGAATTAAAAGCTGCAAGAAACACGTGGCCGCTAATGTCAAAAATTGAGACCGGAAGTGATCCTACCGGATATTTTCAAAGCGGGAGGAATTGACATAGACCAGGTGTCTGGCGCAACGTTCTGACGCAAAAATTGCGTAATGAAAAACAAAGAAAGAAACGGCTGATTACTGTTGATCAGTTGTGATATCTAAAGGAGCGAAGGATCGACCACCGTGTACCGTATCAGTGACAAGAGAACGCGGATGAAGTCCCATGGGTCAAAGGTCCCATTGGTCGGTCTCCACTCATGGCTGAAGATTCGTCGACTGATGCTGATTCGGATTGTTGAGGTTAGGCCGCTGATGTATCCCGTGCGCCTGGAGCTGATGATTAATCAGGTAGTGTTTGGTTTTGCAGCGTTTCCCGCACACGTTGCACTGGGGCCACGTGTCCGGCGGCGGCCAATTCGAGTGGACGTTTTTCACGTGCTGGCGCAGGTTGCTCGGCGACGAGTAGCTCCTGCCGCAGTAGCGACAGAGAGGCCTCGTGTCCTCGTGCCTCAGGGCCGTGTAGAACCTTGCGAAATTCTCGACGGCCTGGGATTCTGAGGCGCCGGCCGTCTCTTCCCTCTTCGGCATCACCGATCCTACAACCAGGACGTGCCCGTCAGTTCTGTTTCCTGTGGCACGCGCTCTCTCTCTCTCTCTCTCTCTCTCTCTATCTCTCGCACACTTGCAGACCAACCACCCACAGACACTCTATCTATCTCTCTTCCTTCTCTTGTACCCCCTGGCATACGCACTCTCGCCATTCACTTACTCTCCTTTTCATTCTTACGTTCGCTCTCGAAGGCGAGAGTGGCTGGGGCACGCGAGTCGTGTGCCTTTCCGCCACTCTTGCCTTCTCACTCTCTCTCTCTCTCTCTCTCTCTCTCTCTCTCTCTCCCGCTTTTACTCTCATTCAGCTCTGGATGGGCATACACGCTACACACACGCACACACAGGCTACTCTCGTACTCTCAGGGCATGCCCGGTTGTAGGATGGTGTAATATGGTTTCCAATGATATACTAAAAATATGGTTTCTTATCACAATTTTCTATTTCCTTTCTTTTTCTCTTCGTTATTCACCCTCTGGATACACGATACCTGGATAGGGTCTGTCTTTGTCTTTTTGGTTTGGTTCACACGCCGGTTACGTAAGCTCACTGATCTTGCTCTGGGTCCCGGGTGTGATGGATGTTCTCAGGATTGCGTGAAGGGTGGGTGCGTCGAGCGATTCTTACTTTTGGTTTGGGTGTCCGGGGCGGGGGGAGGGGGGGGGGGGGGTGTTTTTTTTTTTGCGTGAAGGGTGGGTGCGTCGAGCGATTCTTACTTTTGGTTTGGGTGTCCGGGGCGGGGGGAGGGGGGGGGGGGTTCATTTTTGAAGGGTGTTGTTCGAGAGAATCGCTCTGTTTATCTCGACTTTCTTCCGTTCGGGATCTTTAAGTACTTCCGGTACGAGAGAAGATCCAGTCAGAATCGACGACGGAGACGACTGGATAAAATAAAGGTAGCTTTCCTTTCTGTGTGACAGCTCCTTTTTATTTTTATTTTCTTATTTTTCTCGACGTCACAACCATCTTATTTCGCGGTTTACTGATAGTCATGTGGAGCGGAAAATAATTCACTGTTCCTCTTTCTCTTCCCATCGTCGTCTTCTTTGTTCCCCGCGAGGGGCAACCGATCGTCGAAGAATATCTCGAGTGACAGAATCCGAGAATTATGTAAATCATCGAGAGAACAGGAGCCAGCGAGAGAGAATGAGAGCGAAGAAAGTAGGGGAAAAAGATATTTAGAAGAAAAAAGAAGAAAAAAGGACATAATCAAGCAATAGACCAAGTAACTGTGTGTGAATCTACGTAAGAACCGAGTATTGATCCAACCTGTACGCCTCGTTACAACTATCTTTTCTACGAATCTCTAAGCAAGAGCCTCTCCCACTTCCGCAGCCTTTATTCATTACGTAACGGGAACAGCAGCAGACAGGTAAGGTAGGTAGGTATAGAAAACCGCCTACAAGACAAAGAGCCATCGAGAAAGTATTGAGAGTGACGAATGAGAATTCAAAAGAAAATTTGTAAAAATTACTGATAAGACTTTTTTTTCTTGTTCATTTTTAGCTTTCATTCATTACGGGACTATCCTTGTTAATAATACACATAGAATGTACGCGCGGTTGCCGAAGGATATAAACACAAGGGGAAAGGTGGTGGAAGCAGAAATGTTTCTGATTTATGGCGGATGGCAAACATTGATCCAATCTATTAGAATTACTCGACCGTGTAGTTAGAAAGGCAAGCTCTGTGACATATGTATGTATAGCTATATGCAATACATATACGTATATACAGAGGTCCTAGGTAAAATTATTTCTCCTTTTTTGAGGATCTAGTGTCCGCGGGTAATGTATAATAAATATATATA